CTCTCAACAAAGCTTGTCACGACTTTGCCGCATTATTTTACTTAGAGGCTTGTCTGTTTTTGACAAATGAGCTACTGTACACAATTAGTATCTTTCTGCTGACGAACCTTACACAGCAGGCGTTACAGCAGTGCTCTGTGAGCGTCACAACAAAGCTTTTATAAATCGGCGAATATTAACAACGTAATACGTTGCATATGTGATCGATATTATACACATCGGATACATTGTGAGCTTGTGAGGTTATCTAGAGGTCAGCTTTGGTCCAGGACCTCACTGCTCAGGCCCTGGTGTTTTGGGAACTCAATGATTTTTAAGGTCCCTTCCCACCCAAACCATCCCGTGATCCTGTCTCCCCCTCTGGTTCGCAGGCGACGGGGTGGAATTCCTCTCCTGGTTCCTCAACGCGCTGCACTCGGCCCTGGGCGGCACGAAGAAGAAGAAGAAGAGTGAGCAGAGAGCGATGAAGACTCCTTATTCCCCTTGGGACACCCCCTCGGGTGATGCTCGTCACCTCCGGTCCCCCCTCAACGTCTCTTTGTTCCTGCAGCCATCGTCACCGACGTCTTCCAGGGCTCCATGCGGATCTTCACCAAAAAATTGCCTCACCCTGATCTGGTGAGTATGTGGAGGGTCAAAGGGGGGGTCCTCCCCCCTCGTGGGGGTCTCCAGGCCCCCCCTCTGAGCCCCCTCAGCCAGCCGAGGAGAAGGCGCAGCTCCTACAAAACAGCGAGTACCAGGAGATGATGGTGGAATCCACCTTCATGTACCTGACCTTGGACCTTCCCACCGCTCCGCTCTACAAGGACGAGAAGGAGCAGCTCATCATCCCCCAGGTCCCTCTTTTCAGCATTTTGGCCAAATTCAACGGCGCCACCGAAAAAGAATACAAAACCTACAAGGAGAACTTCCTCAAGCGCTTCCAGCTCACCAAGCTGCCTCCTTACCTCATCTTCTGCATCAAGCGCTTCACCAAGAACAACTTCTTCGTGGAGAAGAACCCCACCATCGTCAACTTCCCCATCACGTGAGTGACGCAGAACCTCTGGGTGGGTGCTGGGGGTCCTTGTCTCCCTTTTTCTGTGCCGTGTTGGGGGTTTGAAGGCATCTAGGAGGGGTTGGTGGGCATCTAGGAGGGGTTTGAAAACATCTAGGGGGGGTTGGAAGGACCCAGGAAGGATTTGAAGGCATTTAGGGAGGGGGTTGAAGGCATCTAGGGGAGGCTGGAAGCATCTAGGAGAAGGTGGTAGGAAAGTATGTAGGAGGGGGTTTGTAGGCATCTAGGAGGGGTTTGAAGGCATCTAGGAGGGGTTTGAAGGCATCTAAAGGGGGTTGGAAGCATTCAGGAGGGGCTTGTAGGCATCTGGAGGGGATTTGAAAGGATCCATGAGAGGTCTGAAGGCATCTGGGAGGGGTTTGAAGACATCTGAGAGGTGTGTAAAGGATCCAGGAGGGGTTTGAAGGCATCTGGGAGGGGTTTGAAGGCATCTAGGAGGGGTTGGAAGCATCCATGAGGGGCTTGTAGACTTCTGGGTGGAGTTGAAAGCATCTGGGGAGGGTTTTGAAAGCATCTAAGGAGGGGTTTGAAGCATCTGTGGGGGGGGGTCTTGTAGGCATCTCGGGAGGATTTGAAAGCATCTAGGAGAGGTTGATAGGCGTCTGGGGGGGTTTGAAGGCACCTAGAGGGGGTTTGAAAGCATCTAGGGGGTCTTTGGAGGCATCCAGGAGAGGTTGGAACCATCAAGGAGGGGTTGGAAGCAGCTTGGGGGGG